CAAGATCCAACAATCAGGCTTTGCAAGAACATAAAATGAAATAAAAACCTAATTAAAGTGTTTATATCACGGCAGGAGACTCCTATGTGCGCATGCGCAGTCCGGACTGAATCCTATCTTTAAACTAATTTCAGTAACACCGCGGAAAACGTCTGCGCATGCACCAAATTATGAAAATATGACGGGGAATTTGAATATCAATTTCTAAAACAAAAACATGCTTATTAATTGGTCAAAAATTAGTAAAACAAACGAGAAAATATAGCAAATGGGTAGACTAGACATTAATTGAAAGCGTCCTGGCATTTAAAGTATGGAATGAAATATAATTATTGGCTGCGGCACTTGTGCCCAGGCGAGTATAGGTTTCGGCTTCATTCTCCAATTTCCAATCGTCGATAGCCACAAAATAGAATATTAATGAGCTGCTTAACCTAACCGTGGGCAAAATGTTTCAAACAATTCCGGGCCCCATTTCGTGAAAATTTTGGCCGAATTGTACCTGTTTTCTATGGATTTTGCATTGTGTCTAACTCTGGACATTCATGCTAGTTTATTTAATGCGTTTTCCTTGGTGCACGACTCTGAAAATCCGAAATTTGGATCGTTGAATTCCTGTGCACGATCTAATATACTGAATCTGAATATAAACGAGCCAAAGACAATTTCAAGGTAAAAGGTTATTTATTAAAACTACGTTGTGCAGTTTAAGTTATAACTACTTTATGAGAAGCATATTGGTGTCATATCAATATAAAATTTATCGAACAACAACAGTCCGTGAAAACTGTCTGTAGACTGTAGTGTACTCAGTGTGAAATATGATATTGTATTTGTATAAATGCCTCTTAATGGCGCAAACCGCGCAATAAGGATAAAAATACCACCGTTCGATTCAGCGTAAGAAATTGTACTTACCGCCTTACGGATGTCAAATGTATTACTAAACATCAATATTCTAGCGATTTATGACCTTTGAAAATCAAGCGAAATTGTATTGTTGACATCAAATCACTCGCAGTACGTTTGTCCATTGTATTAACTATGGCTTGTCCTTGTATTTGTATTGCTTAATTAATGGCGCAATAAGAATAAAAATACCACCGTTCGATTCAGCGTAAGAAATTGTACTTACGGATGAGAAATTGTACCTATACGGATGTCAAATGTATTACTAAACAACTGACAACAGTATTCTCAACCTCGTTCCCAGGGCTTCAGTGTGAGGACGAGGCTAGACACGAGGAAGCCCTGGTCTGGGCCGGTCAATTTTGCAATTCTGATTGGCTAACACCATATTGTCTAAAAATAACTGAACTTGACAGTTGACAATAACAATTCAACATTTGTATTTTTATGATTCTTGTGTGTACGAGTATGTTTTGCAAAATAATCTTTCAAAGTAAGACGTTTTCCCGACTGCATGATTTACTTTCGCCTCGGCCGGTTACAAAACTCAAAAGCCGTGTCGAAGTGAGCTGTGATGTTTCCTGACAAAACAAGAAACGTCTACTATTATTTAAGCTGTAGTTTCCTTGTACAGTATTTATTAGTGCAGATGTCTGATGAAATACTACGCGTATTGCATTGTAGTAATATTTTAATTTACAATATTCTGTACTGACAAATAAAAGCAACACAAACAATTAAATGAAACTACTAAATTAATTTAGGCCCTGTTTACTTAATAGCTCTACGCCTAGGCCAATGTAGTCTCTACAAGATTCGCACGCCACCCAGTTTTTCAGTTTCAGAATACCCCGAATACTTGAAAATTGCGACTATACGATAAAATAAAACAAAGATTGTGAAGGGGATAAAATTTGTAGGCAAGCATTGCTCCTGAACGGCAAGTGTTGGTGTCCGGCGAAACAAGCGAATCCGTATATTCCTGTGCAGCGTAAACAGGTTACGCGAGGTTTTATATTTGTGTTTATTTATATTGAACTAAGTCAGATCTATAAGAGCATATTTAAACTAAATATTAATTATAGCAATAGCCATATTGTTCAAGACGAGAGAAAGGAAACTTCGTGTGAATGGTCACCACTTGCATGGAGACGCCTAGATGCAGCTTGGATTTAGCTTTGCCTGTAGTTGAAAATCTCCAGAAATATCGGTATATCTTAGAAAACATAGACGGCGCGGGGATCTTCATAGATTTTAGCTGATTCGTGCCAAACTTCGCTCTACACATAAATAATATCGACTGAGAAGTCTTTTGACTATTTATTTGTTTCGAAGACTTGTATATTTTATTAAAGAATATCTCGCCACTCCTTGACGAGTAGCTGTCAAATACTGTCAGTTTTTGTCGTCACGTGACCGGCCCAGACCAGGGCTTCCTCGTGTCTCGCTTCGTTCTCACACTGAAGCCCTGGGAACGAGGTTGCAGTATTCTAGCAATTTATGGCCTTTGACATTGTCTTTGAAAGCCAAGCGAAATTGTATTATTTGTTGACAAATCGCTCAAATTATAAAAGATACAGTACATTTGATCCTTGATAACTTTGGTATCATTGCCATTGGTTTTCTCTTTTTCGACCGTACACCAGTGGATTCGTCTCACTTCTCTCTTCATTTTGATAATATTTTCAGCCCAAAAGCCCCAAAATATTTTATTTTGAACGTTTTAAACTGGCGGCCGACAGAAGAATGTAGCGTACTATAAAATATAACTTTACGTGTGGGCATAAGTTTCTGGAAGCTTCCCTAGCTCGGGGCCAGGCTTAATTTCCACACAAGGCTTTAATATACGCACGTAAAACTTTAAATCTGTAAAATAACCAAATAAATAAAGCAACAGAATTTACTGCTCCGCAAGTTTTAGTATGAATTTGTTAACTTATTTGTAAAATATTTAAAAATAGAAGGATTCAAAGTTTTACGTGCGTGTACGTGCGTACGAATAACGCAACAGTGGAAATCAGCCTTTAGATCTTAACAGTACTGTGCGTCAGTTGTGTAGCCCCAGCGAGTTAACGCTCCACAGAGCGTCTTGTTCATGTAAAAAATTGTTGATTTTAACGGACACGACTTCGAAAATGTTTGCACAATTATTCAGAACAAAAATTCAAACTAAAAAGTTAAGAAAACTCTCGAAAAGTTAAGCTTCTTAACCCACTCAAATTGTAGAATAAATCCTAGAGTTTAATGATTGTGAACACGAAAATTTTTTATATTTGGCGACACAGTTTTTTTTAAAGAAATGTATCTCAAACGAAAATTCGGAAATTGTCGTTGCTTAGTTGATAAACAAAATGTTTCAGACGATATTCAGCAATCACCTGTAGTTCATGTTCTTGTACAATACAATTTCTTGAACCTTCTGGCTGTATTTATTCCTAGTTTTTAGAATGACATGTTTATTTTTGCGCTCGAAATCTGGCTGTAAAGACGCACAATGAAGTCACTCCTTTTTACCGCCATTTAGGGCCTTCGGAAACGTTCGGAACAGCTTCTCATCAAGTTCGCAATACTATTACAGGTAAGGTTGACGCATGCGCAGACGTTTTTCCGCGGTGTTAATTTCAGTACAGTTGCCATTCTCTCGTGATTATTGGGTATTTCGTTGAAGCCAACTTGAATTTCAAATTATTTTAAGAAAATTATAATTTTGCAACCTCGCAAACCAGAAGGTTTGGAAACATAAAAAACATAAGACAACGTCGTGAGGCGTTCGCATTGACAAACTGTCGAATACTCTTTGGCGGCATGCAGAGTTTTCCTGCCAGGCACTTTAGGACAAGCTTTTTCAGTTGATGAAATATTGATATTTGATATTTATGCAGTACATGCGTTTTTTAACCACAACTAAAGCTACTAAAGCAATATATATAGCAAACTTGTCCATGCAAATACAATTGAAATTAATTGGTCATTTTTTAAGAAAATTTTTAGTGTTGTTGAACTTGGAACATTGATATCTCAGTTACTATTGCACAAAAACCTTATTGTAAAATATCATATTTAAGTTAGCCCTATCTGGGTATAAATAAATGTATTTGATCCCTGAAAACTTCAGGATCAAAGTGGATATTTTGTTTGCGCTAAGCCGGGTTTCAGGCCACGTTGATGCCATCTTTAAGAGACTACATGAAGCTCAGTGCACGAATGTTTTCAAGTAAACAGACTATACGAGGCTTTTGAAATAAGTTAAAAATACAGACATCTCTCGTCCCCGTAATCCTTGGAATATGACTTTGTTGTTGCAAATGGCGAGAGGCTATCGACCGCCGCTCAGAATGACAACAATGTTAATTTTATGATTTTTCTGTGTTGGTGTAATGTACTCAGGTGAATATGATGCTTGTGATGTTACTCTGAGTGCATATCCACACCGGGCAAGCTTGGGCTAGTATTCCAAAGGGCGTAGGTTCGATTCCCACCGTGGTCAGGCATATTTTTTAAGCTTGCCCGGTGTGGATATACACTAAGAGTAACATCACAAGCATAATGTTAATGTTATTATTATACAATTACACAAAGTAAATATCTACAAGTAAAATTGATCTTACTATATGTGTCTTGTTAAAGTTTTAATATAATTTAAGATAAATATAATCTAAAAATGTTTCTCGAAAAGTTATAAGATGTCAAAAAAGATTTAAATTAATTGATTCTACTATACTTACTATGATCTTTCTGATTGCATAGAATGTTGACTTACATGTATTAATCTAATTTTTTGGATCCCTATGTTTTTTGGATCTCTTCCCAGGGGGCTGCAAACCTATGTGCTTATTTTAGCCATACTATTCTCCGATAGTATTTGGTGATAGATTGTGAAATAGTGGATTTGCGTCATTTGCCTGTCCGTGCACGCAGGTGCACTGAATTTGGTAAAAAATGCCGCACAAAAAAATGCTTTGCATTGTTGTCCTAATATGCATGCTCATATCAATCATTACTTTATTAGTGAATAGAACTTTCTATTCTTAAACTAAATGACCTCGTGAGGGATTATAAATAGGGCGTCCTTGTTCTAGTTTTCAAAGCAAATGACAGCAGCAAGAAGACGAGCAAAAAAAGCAACCACAGAATATTTCTCTGATTCTGTAAGTTTTTAAGATACTATATACATTGTATGTCTATATAGGTAAAGGTTGTGTCACAATCTTCAATTGCATGGTTCCAACTTGCTGGCTTCTCCCACCATGCCATGTTTATATTATTTGATTGCATGGATGGATTTTTATTGTGGTCAGTAGATAGCTGTGTTAGGCCCCCTCGACACGTATAGGTATACTTTCTTGTCGGTTTGGGCCTTGGTCCACCCGTTTTGGGATACCCAATAAAACGGAGACATTCGAAAACGTTTTCCATAAAGTGTAGAGCGATTCGAAAACGCTGGCTCCTCAACAAGGTTCCTCACGCTGAGGACAAGGTTCCTTACGCTGAGGACAAGCTTCCTCACACTGAGGACAAGGTACTTCACACTGAGGACAAGGTACCTCACACTGAGGACAAGGTTCCTCACGCTGAGAACAATGTTCCTCACGCTGAGGACAAGGTTCCTCGCGCTGAGGACAAGGTTCCTCACGCTGAGGACAAGGTTCCTCACCCTGAGGACAAGGTACCTCACATTGAGGACAAGGTACCTAACACTGAAACAAGGTACCTCACCCTGAGGACAAGGTTCCTCACGCTGAGGACAGGGTTCCTCAAGCTGAAGACAAGGTACCTCACACTGAAGACAAGGTACTCACACTGAGGACAAGGTACTTCAGACTGAGGACAAGGTTCCTCACGCTGAGGACAAGGTTTCTCACCCTGAGGCCAAGGTACCTCACATTGAGGACAAGGTACCTAACACTGAAACAAGGTACCTCACCCTGAGGACAAGGTTCCTCACGCTGAGGACAAGGTACCTCACGCAGAGGACAAGGTTCCTCACGCTGAGGACAAGGTACCTCACATTGAGGACAAGGTACTTCACGGTGAGGACAACGTTCCTCACGCTGAGGACAAGGTTCCTCACGCTGAGGACAAGGTTCCTCACGCTGAGGACAAGGTTCCTCAAGCTGAGGACAAAGTACCTCACATTGAGGAAAAGGTACTTCACACTGAGGACAAGGTTCCTCAAGCTGAGGACAAGGTACCTCACACTGAGGACAAGGTACCTCACGCTTAGGACAAGGTTCCTCACGCTGATGAAAAGGTTCCTCAAGTTGAGGACAAGGTTCCTCACGCTGAGGACAGGGTTCCTCAAGCTGAGGACAAGGTACCTCACATTGAGGACAAGGTACTCACACTGAGGACAAGGTATGTCAGACTGAGGACAAGGATCCTCACGCTGAGGACAAGGTTCCTCACGCTGAGGACAAGGTACCTCAAACTGAGGACAAGGTTCCTCAAACCGAGGACAAGGCACGTCACACAGAGGACAAGGATCCTCACGCTGACGACAAAGTTCCTCACGCTGAGGAAAAAGTACCTCATATTGAAGACAAGGTACCTCAAGCTGAGGACAAGGTACCTCGCAATGAGGAGAAGGATCCTCACACTGAAGACAAGGTTCCTCACACTGAGGACAAGGTTCCTCAGGATGAGGCCAAGGTACCTCACACTGAGGACAAGGTTCCTCACGCTGAAGACAAGGTTCCTCACGCTGAGGACAAGGTTCCTCACGCTGACGACTAGGTTCCTCACGCTGAGCACAAGATTCCTCACGCTGACGACAAGGCTCCTATCGCTGAGGACAAGGTACCTCACCCTGAGGACAAGGTTCCTCACGTTCAGGACATGGTTCCTCACGCTGAAGACAAGGTTCCTCACGCTGAGGACAAGGTTCCTCACACTGAGGACAAGGATCCTCACGCTGAGGACAAGGTACCTCACAGTCTCACACGCAGGACAAGGTTCCTCAAGCTGAGGACAAGGTTCCTCACGCTGAGGACAGAGTTCCTCACACTGAGGACAAGGTTCATCACGCTGAGGACAAGGTACCTCACAGTCTCACACGGAAGACAAGGTTCCTCAAGCGGAGGACAAGGTTCCTCAAACTGAGGACAAGGTTCCTCAAACCGAGGACAAGGCACCTCACACAGAGGACAAGGTTCCCCAATATGAGGACAAGGTACCTCACGCTGAGGACAAGGTTCCTCACACTGAGGACAAGGTTCCTCACGCTGAGGACAAGGTACCTCACAGTCTCACACGGAGGACAAGGTTCCTCAAGCTGAGGAGAAGGTTCCTCACGCTGAGGACAGAGTTCCTCATGCTGAGGACAAGGTACCTCACACTGAGGACAAAGTACCTCACAGTCTCACACGGAGGACAAGGTTCCTCAAGCGGAGGACAAGGTTCCTCAAACTGAGGACAAGGTTCCTCAAACCGACGACAAGGCACCTCACACAGAGGACAAGGTTCCTCAATATGAGGACAAGGTACCTCACGCTGAGGACAAGGTTCTTCACACTGAGGACAAGGTTCCTCACACTGAGGACAAGGTTCCTCACGCTGAGGACAAGGTTCCTCAAGCTGAGTACAAGGCACCTCACACTGAGGACAAGGTACCTCAAACTGATGACAAGGTACCTCACACTGAGGACCAGGTGCCTCACGATGAGGACAAGGTTCCTCACGCTGTGGAAAAGGTTCCTCACGTTGAGGACAAGGTTCCTCACGCTGAGGACAGGGTTCCTCAAGCTGAGGACAAGGTACCTCACATTGAGGACAAGGTACCTCAGACTGAGGACAAGGTACCTCAGATTGAGGACAAGGTTCCTCACGCTGAGAACAAGGTTGCTCACGCTGAGGAAAAGGTACCTCAAACTGAGGACAAGGTTCCTCAAACCGAGGACAAGGTACGTCACACTGAGGACAAGGATCCTCACGCTGAGGACAATGTTCCTCACGCTGAAGGAAAATTACCTCACATTGAGGACAAGGTACCTCATGCTGAGGACAAGGTACCTCGCACTGAGGACAAGGTTCCACACACTGAAGACAAGGTTCCTCACACTGAGGACAAGGTTCCTCAGGCTGAGGACAAGGTACCTCACACTGAGGACAAGGTTCCTCACGCTGAAGACAAGGTTCCTCACGCTGAGAACAAGGTTCCTCACGCTGAGCACTAAGTTCCTCACGCTGAGGACAAAATTCCTCACGCTGACGACAAGGTTCCTCACGCTGAGATCAAGGTACCTCACCTTGAGGACAAGGTTCCTCGCGTTCAGGACAAGGTTCCTCACGCTGAAGACAATGTTCCTCACGCTGAGGACAAGGTTCCTCACACTGAGGTCATGGTACCTCACAGTCTTACACGGAGGACAAGGTTCCTAACGCTGAGGACACGGTACCTCACAGTCTCACACGGAGGACAAGGTTTCTCAAACTGAGGACAAGGTTCCTCACACTGAGGACAAGGTTCATCACGCTGAGGACAAGGTAACTCACAGTCTCACACGGAGGACAAGGTTCCTCAAGCGGAGGACATGGTTCCTCAAACTGAGGACAAGGTTCCTCAAACCGAGCACAAGGCGCCTCACACAGAGGACAAGGTTCCTCAATATGAGGACAAGGTACCTCACGCTGAGGACAAGGTTCTTCACACTGAGGACAAGGTTCCTCACCCTGAGGACAAGGTTCCTCACGCTGAGGACAAGTTTCCTCAAGCTGAGTACAAGGCACCTCACACTGAGGACAAGGTACCTCAAACTGATGACAAGGTACCTCACACTGAAGACAAGGTGCCTCACGATGAGGACAAGGTTCCTCACGCTGTGGAAAAGGTTCCTCTCGTTGAGGACAAGGTTCCTCACGCTGAGGACAGGGTTCCTCAAGCTGAGGACAAGGTACCTCACATTGAGGACAAGGTACCTCAGACTGAGGACAAGGTACCTCAAATTGAGGACAAGGTTCCTCACGCTGAGAACAAGGTTGCTCACGCTGAGGAAAAGGTACCTCAAACTGAGGACAAGGTTCCTCAAACCGAGGACAAGGTACGTCACACTGGGGACAAGGATCCTCACGCTGAGGACAATGTTCCTCACGCTGAAGGAAAATTACCTCACATTGAGGACAAGGTACCTCATGCTGAGGACAAGGTACCTCGCACTGAGGACAAGGTTCCACACACTGAAGACAAGGTTCCTCACACTGAGGACAAGGTTCCTCACGCTGAAGACAAGGTTCCTCACGCTGAGAACAAGGTTCCTCACGCTGAGCACTAAGTTCCTCACGCTGAGGACAAAATTCCTCACGCTGACGACAAGGTTCCTCACGCTGAGATCAAGGTACCTCACCTTGAGGACAAGGTTCCTCGCGTTGAGGACAAGGTTCCTCACGCTGAAGACAATGTTCCTCACGCTGAGGACAAGGTTCCTCACACTGAGGTCATGGTACCTCACAGTCTTACACGGAGGACAAGGTTCCTAACGCTGAGGACAAGGTACCTCACAGTCTCACACGGAGGACAAGGTTCCTCAAACTGAGGACAAGGTTCCTCACACTGAGGACAAGGTTCATCACGCTGAGGACAAGGTAACTCACAGTCTCACACGGAGGACAAGGTTCCTCAAGCGGAGGACATGGTTCCTCAAACTGAGGACAAGGTTCCTCAAACCGAGCACAAGGCGCCTCACACAGAGGACAAGGTTCCTCAATATGAGGACAAGGTACCTCACGCTGAGGACAAGGTTCTTCACACTGGGGACAAGGTTCCTCACACTGAGGACGAGGTTCCTCACGCTGAGGAAAAGGTTCCTCAAGCTGCGGACAAGGTACCTCACACTGAGGACAAGGTACCTCGAACTGAGAACAAGGTGCCTCACGATGAGGACAAGGTGCCTCACGATGAGGACAAGATTCCTCACGATGAGGACAAGGGTCGTCACGTTGAGGACAAGGTTCCTCACGCTGAGGTCAAGGTACCTCACACTGAGGACAAGGTACCTCACGCTGAGGACAGGGTACCTCAAAATGAGGACAAGGTACCTCGCACTGAGGACAAGGTTCCTCACGCTGAGGACAAGGTTCCTCACGCTGAGGACAAGGTACCTCAAACTGAGGACAAGGTAGCTCACACGGAGGACAAGGATCCTCACGCTGAGGACAATGTTCCTCACGCTGAGGAAAAAGTACCTCAGATTGAGGACAAGTTACCTCAAGCTGAGGACAAGGTACCTCGCACTGAGGACAAGGTTCCTCACACTGAAGACAAGGTTTCTCACACTGAGGACAAGGTTCGCCAGCCTGAGGACAAAGTACCTCACACTGACGACAAGGTTCCTCACGCTGAAGACAAAGTTCCTCACGCTGAGGACAAGGTTCCGCACGCAGAGGACTAGGTTCCTCACGCTGAGGGAAAATTACCTCACATTGAGGACAAGGTACACCAAGCTGAGGAGAAGTTACCTCGCACTGAGGACAAGGTTCCACACACTGAAGACAAGGTTCCTCACACTGAGGACAAAGTTCCTCAGGCTGAGGACAAGGTACCTCACACTGAGGACAAGGTTCCGCACGCTGAAGACAAGGTTCCTCACGCTGAGGAACATTGTCTTCAGTGTGAGGTACCTTGTCCTCAGCGTGAGGAACCTTGTCCGCAGCGTGAGGAACCTTGTCCTCAACTTGAGGAACCTTGGCCTCAGCGTGAGGAACATTGTCCTCAGTGTGAGGGAGCTTGTCGTCAGTGTGGGCTACCTTGTCCTAAGCGTGAGGAACCTTGTCCTCAGCGTGAGGAACCTTGTGCTCAGCGTGAGGAACCTTCTCCTCAGCATGAGGAACGTTGTCCTCAGTGTGAGATACCTTGTGCTCTGTCTGAGGTACATTGTCCTCAGCGTGAGGTACCTTCTCCTCAGCGTGAGGAACCTTGTCCTCAGTGTGAGGTACCTTGTCCTCTGTGGGATGTAGCTTGTCCTCAGCGTGAGGAACCTTGTCCTCAGCGTGAGGAACCTTGTCCTCAGCATGAGGAACCTTGTCCTCACATTGAGGAACCTTGTCCTCACATTGAGGAACCTTGTCGTCAGCGTCAGGAATCTTGTCCTCAGCGTGAGGAACCTTGTCCTCAGTGTGAGGTACCTTGTCTTCAGTGTGAGGTACCTTGTCCTCAGCGTGACGAACATTGTTCTCAGTGTGAGGTACCTTGTCCTCAGTGTGAGGTACCTTGTCCTCTGCGTGAGGTACCTTGTCCTCGGCGTGAGGAACCTTGTCCTCAGCGTGAAGAACCTTTTCCTCAGCGTGAGGAACCTTGTCCTCAGTGTGAGGTACCATGTCCTCAGCATGAAGAACCTTGTCCTCAGCGTGAGTAACCTTGTCCTCAGTGTGTGGTACCTTGTCTTCAGTGTGAGGTACCTTGTCCTCAGTGTGAGGTACCTTGTCCTCAGTGTGAGGTACCTTGTCCTCAGCGTGAGGTACCTTGCCGCAGCGTGAAGAACCTTGTCCTCAGCGTGAGGAACCTTGTCCTCAGCGTGAGGAACCTTGTCCTAAGCGTGAGTAACCTTGTCCTCAGCGTGAGTAACCTAGTCCTCAGTGTGAGGTACCTTGTCCTCAATGCGAGGTACCTTGTCCTCAGCTTGAGGAACCTTTCCTCAGTGTGAGGTACCTTGTCCTCCGCGTGAGGAACCTTGTCCTCAGCGTGAGGAACCTTGTCCTCCGCGTGAGGAACCTTGTCCTCAGCGTGAGGAACCTTGTCCTCAGCGTGAGGAACCTTGTCCTCAGTCTGAGGTACCATGTGCTCAGCATGAGGAACCTTGTCCTCAGTGTGAGGTACCTTGTCCTCAGTGTGAGGTTCCTTGTCGTCAGTGCGAGGTACCTTGTCCTCATCGTGAGGAACCTTGTCCTCAGCTTGAAGGACATTGCCCACAGTGTCAGGTACCTTGTACTCAGTGTGACTTACCTTGTCCTCAGCTTGAGGAAGCTTGTCCTCAGCGTGAGGAAGCTTGTCCTCAGCGTGAAGAACCTTGTTTTCAGCGTGAGGAACCTTGTCCTCTGCGTGAGGAACTTTGTCCTCAGCGTGATGTACCTTGTCCTCAGCGTGAGGAAACTTCTCCTCAGCGTGAGGAACCTTGTCCTCAGTGTGAGGGAGCTTGTCGTCAGTGTGGGTTACCTTGTCCTAAGCGTGAGGAACCTTGTCCTCAGCGTGAGGAAAATTGTGCTCAGCGTGAGGAACCTTCTCCACAGCGTGAGGAACCTTGTGCTCTGCGTGAGGTACCTTGTCCTCAGCTTGAGGTACCTTGTCCTCAGCGTGAGGAACCTTGTCCTCAGCATAAGGAACCGTGTCCTCACCATGAGGAACCGTGTCCTCACCATGAGGAACCTTCTCCTCAGGGTGAGGAACCTTGTCCTCAGTGTGAGGTACATTGTCCTTTGTGTGAGGTACCTTGTCCTCAATGTGAGGTACCTTGTCCTCAGCGTGAGGAACCTTGTCCTCAGCGTGAGGAACCTTGTCCTCAGTGTGAGGACCTTGTCCTCAATGTGAGGTACTTTGTCCTCAGTGTGAGGACCTTGTCCTCAATGTGAGGTACCTTGTCCTCAGTGTGAGGTACCCTGTCCTCAATGTGAGGTACCTTGTCCTCAATGTGAGGAACCTTGTCCTCAGTGTGAGGTACCTTGTCCTCAGCGTGAGGAACCTTGTCCTCAGCGTGAGGAAGCGTGTCCTCACCGCCAGGAACCTTGTCCTCAGGGTGAGGGATGTTGTCCTCAGTTTGAGGAACGTTGTCCTCAGCTTGAGGAATCTTGTCCTCAGTGTGAGGTGCTTTGTCCTCAGCGTGAGGAACCTTGTCCTCAGCGTGAGGAACCTTTTCCTCAGCGTGAGGAACCTTGTCCTCAGCATAAGGAACCGTGTCCTCACCATGAGGAACCGTGTCCTCACCATAAGGAACCTTCTCCTCAGGGTGAGGAACCTTGCCCTCAGTGTGAGGTAAATTGTCCTCTGTGTGAGGTACCTTTTCCTCAATGTGAGGTACCTTGTCCTCAGCTTGAGGAACCTTGTCTTCAGTGTGATGTACCTTGTCCTCCGTGTGAGGTACCTTGTCCTCAGTGTGAGTTACCTAGTCTTCAGCGTGAGGAACCTTGTCCTCAGCTTGAAGGACCTTGTCTTCAGCGTGAGGAACCTTGTCCTCAGCGTGAGGAACCTTGTCCTCAGCATAAGGAACCGTGTCCTCACCATGAGGAACCGTGTCCTCACCATGAGGAACCTTCTCCTCAGGGTGAGGAACCTTGTCCTCAGTGTGAGGACCTTGTCCTCAATGTGAGGTACCTTGTCCTCACTGTGAGGTACCTTGTCCTCAATGTGAGGTACCTTGTTTTCAATGTGAGGAACCTTGTCCTCAGTGTGAGGTACCTTGTCCTCAGCGTGAGGAACCTTGTCGTCAGCGTGAGGAACCTTCTCCTCACCGCCAGGAACCTTGTCTTCAGGGTGAGGGATGTTGTGCTCAGTTTGAGGAACGTTGTCCTCAGCTTGAGGAACCTTGTCCTCAGTGTGAGTTGCTTTGTCCTCAGCGTGATGAACCTTGTCCTCAGCGTGAGGAACCTTTTCCTCAGCGCGAGGAACCTTGTCCTCAGTGTGAGGTACCATGTCCTCCCCATGAAGAACCTTGTCCTCAGCGTGAGTAACCTTGTCCTCAGTGTGAGGTACCTTGTCCTCAATGTGAGGTACCTTGTCCACAGTGTGAGGTACCTTGTCCCCAGTGTGACTTACGTTGTCCTCATCTTGAGGAACCTTGCCCTCAGTGTGAGGAACCTTGTCCTCAGCGTGAGGAACCTTGTCCTCAGCGTGAGGAACCTTGTCCTCAGGGTGAGGAACCTTGTCGTCAGCTTGAGGAACCTCTTCCACAGCGCGAGGAACCTTGTCCTCACCGCCAGGAACCTTTTGCCCAGGGTGAGGGACGTTGTCCTCAGCGTGAGGAACCTTGTCCTCAGCGTGAGGAACCTTGTCCTTAGCGTGAGGTACCTTGTACTCAATGTGAGGTACCTCGTCCTGAGCTTGGGGAACCTTGTCCTCAGCGTGATGTACCTTGTCCTCAGCGTGAGGAACCTTGTCCTCAACGTGAGGAACCTTGTCCTCAGCTTGAGGAACCTTGTCCTCAGCGTGAGGAACCTTGTCCTCAGTGTGGGGGACTTATCGTCAGTGTGAGCTACCTTGTCCTGAGCGTGAGGTACCTTGTCCTCAGCGTGAGGAACCTTGTCCTCAGCGTGAGGAACCTTGTTCTCAGCATGAGGAACCTTGTCCTCAGTGTGAGGTACCTTGTCCTCAGCGTGAGGAACCTTGTCCGCAGCGTGAGGAACCTTGTCCTCACCATGACGAACCTCGTCCTCAGCGTGAGGAAACTTGTCCTAAGTGTGAGCTACACTTGTCCTCAGTGTGAGGTACCTTGTCCTCAGCGTGAGGAACCTTGTCCTCAGCCTGGGGAACCTTGTCCTCAGCGTGAAAAACCTTGTACTTAGCGTGAGGTATCTTGTCCTCAATGTGACGTACCTTGTCCTGAGCTGGGGGAACCTGGTCCTCAGCGTGATGTACCTTGTCCTCAGCGTGAGGAACCTTGTCCTCAACGTGATGAACCTTGTCCTCAGCTTGAGGAACCTTGTCCTCAGCGTGAGGAACCTTGTCCTCAGTGTGAAGGAGCTTATCGTCAGTGTGAGGTACCTTGTCCTGAGCGTGAGAAACCTTGTCCTCAGCGTGAGGAACCTTGTGCTCAGCGTGAGGAACCTTGTCCTCAGCATGAGGAACCTTGTCCTCAGTGTGAGGTACCTTGTCCTCAGTGTGAGGAACCTTCTCCGCAGCGTGAGGTACCTCGTCCGCAGCGTGAGGAACCTTGTCCTCAGCGTGAGGAACCTTGTCCTCAGCGTGAGGACCCTTGTCCTCAGCGTGAGGAACCTTGTCCTCAGCGTGAGGAACC